GGTGCACATCGACGAGGATAAGCAGACTCATGGTTTACTTTGTTAGACCAGTTCAATTGCCGATTGTGTGTAGGAGTTGGACGTGGGCAAAGAGCATTCAGTTGTGTCTAATGAAAACACCATTGCCCTAAGCATAGCCAAGAGTTTTCACACTCGGCTCTTCCAAATCTCAGTTCGACAGCAATTATTAAACGTCTGTGAATTGGCTGTCCATAGCACGTTGAAATGGTAAACTTCCAGAAACAATGATAGCCTATGCGGCTTTATTCGTCCACTAGTCTACACAATCAAACAAGGTGATCTTGATAAAAGCGCAGGAAAATATGTCTGCCAATGCCTTTACCAGTAAAGAATTTCACAGAAAAGTATGGGTGCTTGCTAATGATTCCTGACAGAAATTGAATAGTTCAAAAAGGAATTATCTATATATCTCTATTGGAGCATCTAACACGATGGATTTCGGCAGTGCGGAAGGACGTGGGAAAAAATTCTGAAAGCGTTTCAGATAGGCGAAATGTTTTATGATACCACAGGAACACCGCAACCATGACCTCTCAAAATTTTGCCGGAGACCAAGGAGCTAATCAGGATGGTCCTATTAAAAAGCCAACCTTCGTCATTCGCATAAATAGGTTATTTTCAAGCGGGCTATTCCCCCTGGAACGGCTCAAACGCCGGGAACTTGTTTCGGAATTACAATTAACACTAAAGAATAGCAAGCACAACCTAAAAATCTGCAATGGTATGTTGTTCAAAAGCATATAACATTTCTTTTGAACTGGCTAGTAATACTACGGATGTTGACGAGTACTCAACTAGCACAGGCATCACCGCCCTGCCAGCACCAGCCCCACTTGGACCCGTTTAAATACCCGGGGCCAATGGAGATCTTAATTTGTTGTACAAATTTTTTTGAAATCTACTTTTTGTCAAAAAAAAACTATCAATAAACATTAGCTTGCATCTTCTTTTTTGATAAAACAATGAAATCGGGGGTTGAAACGGGAAAACGGGGGCGCACGCTGCGAAAATATTTTCCGTATGCGGGGCTTAACCGGTTGAAATCTCCGTCTTCTGGCCCCGTTGAATTCAGTCCACATGGCAATCACAATCAGTCGGTAGCACCCTGTGTTCTGAGTCAAGAACTCGTAGTTAATGAGACAGATCGAGAAATGTAACAGGCATTTGAGACTGCAGTTCGAGGTGATGAAGTAAAACCCATCACTACGACAAACGCAGCCAGAAAGATGGCTGGTGAAAGGCTGTGGTCCTTGTACTTAAATGCGTAGAGCCCTGTACCTAAACCCGATGTGTTGAAACTCCGCCTTATCAAACTGTCCCCCGATACGATTGCAAAAACTGAAACCGCAATTTGTTCGTTCAGTCTACACAAATGAATCAATGGCCCTTCGGTCCTTCGCAGCAGAATTGCCAGTTTCAAGAGCCAATAATATCTTGTTTCCAGAAATTCGTATCCAAAGGGATTTGGAGTAACTGGAAAACTTGAAATCTCCCGGACCGGACCAGATTCCACCCACACCCCTCAAAGAACTTGCAGGCGAACTTTTTATACATTCACCAATGCTCATTTAACTCCGGAGCCCTTCCTATCGATTGGAAGTTGGCGCCTATAACTCCCCTACATAAAAGCGGTAGTCAGGCGTGCGTTACAAATAACAGGCCTATAAGATTGATATACATTTGCGGCAAGGTAAATGAGAGAATCATCAAGAGAGAAATGTTCAATTCCCAGAGGCCCATAACCTACTATCAAGTTAAAATGAGATGAAAGGACGTGCATAATAAACTTTCTGCAATCTTCAGAGCTCGACCCTAGCTCTTGAGGACAAACACGTGAATCACAACGCCTTCATTGACTTTCGAAGGGCCTTCAATACTGTTCCACACCATATACACCACACCATTAGGATTATTCCTAACGAGCGGTCCAAGCGAGCTCTCCAGTCAAGTTATCGGTCCGCCCACACCCAAAGGCCGCGG